GGGGAGGAGGATGTGCGGAGAATCGCATGTTCGTACGCGGCACGTCGATCAACCCTCGACTTCCCTCTGGCGGCTTCGGTTTACGACAGTCGCGATCGTACACATCCGCCGTACATGAACTCACCCACAGCTCGCCGCAGAAGAGACCGCAGCTGCCGGCTGGCGAGCGACTCCAGCGCCACATCGCAGCGGTTGCGGCCGCTGGCTGCCAGGCGTACGAGCTCCACCGCCGCCAGCAGCTGCTCCGAAGCTCCGTCGACGGCGCCGTCGGCAGGTCCAGCAGCCGCCGCCGCCGCCGCCGCCGCCGCCGCGGCCGTGACGCCGCCGGCGGCTGCGACTGTAGCAATTGAGGTCGTGCCGGCTGTGCTGTCCGCCCCCGCCTGTGCTTCACCCACTAACTGGCCGTACAGCTGGCCGTACAGCCACGTGGAGTACGACAGGAAAACGCCGTCACGGTGCCGTCGCGACAGTGCGTGTGCAAGGCAGCACAGCGCCAGACGCGATACGCGGAGTCCGGCCCCTCCGTTACCGCGGTTGCTGCCGCCGCCGCCGCCGCCGCCGTCGTCACCGCCACCCTCGCGCACATCCACAGACGACGGCTCCGGAAGTCCCGGGAACCGCGGCGGCGGAGACGACGACGACGACGAAACCTGTCCGGTGTGCCGTACGACGGAGGTGCTGCTCTTCGCCAGCATATCCGCCAGCTCCGTCAGCAGCCTGAAGCCTTGTGTAGAGGGACTCGGGGACACTGCACTGCCGCCGCCGCCGCCGCCGTCTGAGGGCCCGCCGCCGGCCCGGTCGACAAGTACGATAGCGGGCGCTGCTCGTAACAACGCCTCGAGCTGTGCTTCCGTCAGTCGACCTGCCGGCGCGGCAGCGGCGGCGGCGCCGCCAGGGTCCTTTGAGGGGGCTTGTGAGTCGCAGCCGCCGCTGCCGCCGGGGCGCCGTCGCTCGTCCAATAGGTCAATGACGACGTCGGCGAGAGCGTACGGCAGGCGGCCGCGCACGTAACCGGCGCTCAGAAGCGCCAAGAACAATTCGACAGGCAAGGACGAGGTCAAGGTGGTGTCTTCGATAGCAGAGCCGTGTGGTGACGCCCGAGTGGAGGGCCTGGCGGCGGCGGCGGCGGAGGCAGCGGCGGCTGCAGCCAAGGAGCCGCCTGCCACCGTCGGGAGCTGCTGCTGCAGCGGCGGCGGCCGACGCGGCGGCGGCAATGTCAGTTCTAAAATCCCCTTCGCCTCATCTTCCAACGCCGCCAGCAGCGGCACCAGAGGGTGGTCGTACACCAGCCCCCCGCCGCCAGCGCCGACGTGTCGACTTCCAGCACCGCTGCTACCGTACCACTGCCCCGGCGCTGACGCCGCAGCGACGCTGGCCTTTCCGTACAATCGCAGCACAGGCAGCGCTACTCGCAGCAGAGCGCCTGCGATGGCGTCGTGCCGCGGCGTCGTCGCGGTGCCGCCCCAGTCCGCCGCCGCCACCGCCGCCGCTGCCTCCCGAAACGCCTCCCCCGCCACCCGCATCGTGACCTCCGCCAGCCCGTCATGCACGTACCCGCGCTCCGCCACGAGCTCACAGCCACGGAGCGCCAATCTAAACCTACTCAGGGCGCTGTACGGCATTTCGCTGGCGGCGGCTGACGCCGCCATAGGCAGCGAAAGCACCCGCGCCAATGCCGTACATGCGGCTGAGACACCGGCGGCGGCATTGGCGTCGGCGCCGTGATCTGTGGCCGCTGCCGCTGCCGCGGCGACCTCCAGCTCTGCCGCCAGCTCTTCAGCTAAGTACGGCAACAACCGGCGCTGCAACGTCAGCAAGGCTTCCCGTTCCGCGCCCAGTAGCTCAGCTGTCCGGCGGGCAGGGGGCCCCGGGCGGGACATATAGGGGCGGGAAAGTGGGACGAGGGCGCAGGAGGGGGCCCAGCGGGAGCTCGTGGTTCGTCTCGTTCGTGGTTCGTCTTCACCCATTACCCCCTCCCCCGGTCATCCTTCCCCCCCCCACAAAACCCTCTCCCCGCTACCTGACAAGACCAAATCATCATCCGCCGTGCCGCTAATGACGCCACTGCCAACGGCGCCAGGACCGATATTACCCAGCTCCGCCGCCGCCGCGGCTGCCGCCACCGCCACCGACGACGACGATGACGCTGATGGTGATGATGGCGGCGGCGGCGGCAAGCCCCGGCTGCGGATCCCGGCCGCCAATCCTTGCTCCGCCATCGCCACCCGCAGGGCCGTCGTACATTGTGAGGCAGGAGAAGCCGCCGCCACCCGAGTTGGAAACGGCGCCGTCGCCGCCGCCGCCGTCACCGCCGCCGCAGCTGCCGCCGTCGTCGTCGTCTTCGTCAAGCTGGCAGGTGACGGCGACGGCTGTGACGGCGATGGCGGTGACGGCGGCAGTGGTGACGACTGCCGCATCCGGCGGAATATTGCCAGTCGTGTTTCCTCAAATGCGGTCGCGGCGGCCGAGGAGAGTCTGAGGGCCTCTGCTGGCACCTGCCGGCCGGGGGGGAGGGGGGGAAGGGGGAAAGACGAACCACACGCGATTGAAGCTGCTGCCAGGGCAAGATAGTAGCAACCGAAAGAACTGACCGAAAGGCGTCCGTGGCGACTGTGACGACTGTAACCTCGGGATGACGACTGTAACCTCGGGATGAAGAATTGACGTAGATGTTGGAAGTCCTACCTACCTAAGCCGCCAGAAATATTATAGCCAACCCGTAAACTAGTAGGTAAAGAAAAAGTAGTGAAGGCGGCGAGAAAAAATGCTGACGTAAAAGTGGCGTAAAGTTGCTGGCTAGGAGAGAAAGCTGCATAGCTGATACTGAAAGGCTGCCGGTATGCAAGTGTTCCTCCCAACCCCCCCAAAAAAAACTAGAACGCGCGACTGACCCGACCGACCCAAACTAAACTATTCCGACTAGCCTACCGACGCCAACGCAAAATACCAAAGAAGCTCGAACCACCTTTTGGACTCACCTGGCCAGGCCGCCGAAGTAGTGGCAAAAGGCACATGCAAAAACAAAAGGGTAACAAAGAGGTGAGGCGGGTGCGATAAAGGACAGGGGGACATGCAAATGCTGCTGAGGAATACTAGTAGCTGGCTGGCTGATTTGAAAGGAGGGGGAAGGGGGAAAGGAGGGGGAGAGAGGGGGGAGTGGAGCAGCAATAAAACATTTGCCGGTGCATACACAGACATACACACACGTACACGCGCGCGCGCGTGCATATGGGCGCAGAGAGAGCGAAAGAGGACCGAATGGCAATCAAAGGTACACACAGCCAGCGTATACAGACAGACAGACAGACAGACAGACAGACAGACAGACAGACAGACAGACAGACAGACAGACAGACAGACAGACAGACAGACAGACAGACAGACAGACAGACAGACAGACGAAGATAGACAGACAGACAAAGAGAGACGGACAGACAGACAGACAGACAAACAAACAGACAAACAGACAGACAGACAGACAGACAAGCAGACGGACAAACAGACGGACAGACACGACAGCTCAAAACTCGCATCTGCTACTGCTATTGTCACCTGTAGCAGCCTGAGCCGAGTCAGGCGAGATGCGGCGGTAGCAGCAGCGGTAGCGGTGGTGGCAGTAGTGGTGGGAGGAACGGTGGTGGTGGCATTAACACACACATCTCGGTGTGTCAATGGTGATGGTGATGGTGATGGTGATGGTGATGATTCCCGCGGGGGAGACGGAAGGGATTGGAGGAGCCGCAGCTGCGACACCGCCTGCGATTTGGGTTTTAGCTGGTGGGTGTGTGGGGGGGAGTGGGTCGGGACGGGGGGGAGGGACAGCTCGCTTTCTCTCTGTTACCCTCGACCCGATAAATTACACACATACATACATACATACGTATCCACCTGCCGGCACCCATCCAACCCACCCGCCGCATCGCGACCAGCAGGCGCCGCCACTGCAACCGCCAGGACGACCATAAGGCCCTCTCCCTCTCCCGTACGGCAACCACAGCGGCTTCCGCCAGCAACAGCTCTTCCTCATCCTCCTCCTGCTGCTGCTGCTGCTGCTGGTGATGTGCATCCTGCTGCAACCGCTGTTGTGGCTGTAGCTGGCCTGGGTTTTGGGGGTGGGCCGGCAGCTTCGAGTGGTATTTCTTCTGCGCGAGAACCTGCTGGTGTTGGTGCTGGTGTTGGAGATGCTTGGCGTGTGTTAATCGCTCAGAGGCGGCAGTGGCCTGGTCCTGCAGCCGCCGGAGGCAGATCAACAGATCCTGCACGGCGGGTGATGGGGGGGAAGGGAGAGGAGGAGAAAGGGGAGGGAAGAGGGGGAGAGAAGGGCGGGAGGGGGAGGGGGAGGGTGATGAGACGAAAACGCAACCAACCCTAAACTTGAACCAAAACAGGAACGCAACAATAAGCAAAATAATTCCGTACAACATCCGTACAAATAATGCCCGCCAATGCGACATGAACGCGAACCCAAACACAAAATTATGAAAGCGTGAGATTCAACTCCAGCTCCAAACCCCCCCTCACGCATACACACACAGACACACATACATACACACATGCACATACATACATACACACACACATGCACACTGACGAGCTGCCGCATCACACCGCCCCCTCACATTCCTCCTCAGCCACCTCACCTCCAGGCCGTCATGCGCTTCCCGCAACGCCGGCAGCACAGCTCCGCACTGAAGCAACGAAACGACCCGTGGGACGGTGCCGCCAAGCAGCTGTACATCCCTGCCGTACTGCAACAGTCGCTCAAGGGGAGCCTTCCCCCAGTGCTGGTTGATGAAGCCGTGTGCTGCCGCCAGCCCCAAACTCATCTCGGAAACAACGGGGTGCTGCGGTTGGTACTGCTGTTGGTGCTGCGGTTGGTGCTGCTGGTGCTGCTGTTGTAGCTGGGCCTGCAATGCCTGCTGTTGCTGCGCAGGTGCCGACGGAGACTGCTGCTGTGGCGGCGGCGGCTGCTGTGGTGGCGGCGGCGGCGGGTGTCCTTGCATCACGGGAGGCAGCAGCCCCCCAGGCCCCAACGCGCCGCCGCCAAACGGGACAACGCCTTCGGAAGCCCTGACGGCTGCGGCGGCGCCGTCACCAGCGGCGCCCGCGATGACGGCGGCGGTCGTGGTGGTACGGCTCGACATGGCGCGCTGTAGCGCCGCCGCGGTCCTCACCGTGCCCAGCAGTAGCAGTAGCCGTGAGTGGGCGTCTGCCGCCGCCGCCGGTGCCGTGCCGGCGTCGATACCCACGCCGCTGCCACTGCCGCCGCCGCCGCCACCGCCACGGCCGCCGCTGAACTCACATGAAGGCTGTAGATTGTGAAGCTGTGGCGGGGCCGGCGCCGGCACAGACTCAGACTCTAAAAAGAACTCCGACGCTGACGGGACCGGCGGTGTCGGCGCTGGGACGTCAGCGGCGGCGTCGGCAGCGGCGGCCTCACAAAGCACAGCCGCCAGGACACGCTGCAGCATTCCAGGGTAGTGCCGTACGAGGCACATGCCGTACGGCGACAGTAACGGATGTGCCGCCGCGCCGTCGTCGTCACCGTGCGCGGGGCCAGCTGTTGAGGTGGCGGCGGTCGTGGTGGTGGTGGCGGCGGCGGCGGCGGTGAGGTTAACGAGACCCGGTACGGCGTCGGGTCCCGGAGCCAACTGTACGACTCCACCAAACGCTTGTGTGAAGGGTGCCTGAAGCAGTGCGGCCAAAGCGGACGGGGTCGACGAAAGAGATGCCAACGGTGGTGGTGGCAGCGTTCGACCGCCAGACGTGCTGCCGCCGCCGTCGACGCCGCTCGCCGTTCGCTCGCCGTTCGCGGGATCAATGTGACGACGACGGCCCGACGGCGACGCCAGTCGACCCGTGGGGCCGGCTAGCCCGCTTGCCGCCGCCACGCTGACGCCGTACGGAACCTGCGGCACACACGCGGGGGGGACACCATGCAAGAGAGGATGAGAGAGGCACACGCACAGGGACACATACAGACATACAGGCGAACACCGAGCGCACGGGCGAATCGCGGACACCCTCACCCACCTCGCCCCGGCCGCCAGCAACGGCGGCGGCGTCAGGCTCATCACCGCGAGCCTCTCGCAGCAACTGCAAATGCTCCGAAACCAGCTCCCGTGCCGCCAGCCCCGCGTGGGGGGAGTCCAGGGAGGCCAGGAAACCCTCCACAACAGGTACCCAACGGGACTGTACGGCAGGTGCCGTGGGGAGACTGAGGACCGTGGCCAGCAGGCGGGCCGCCGCTAGCGGCGGCAGCAGCGGCACCGGCGATGGCGGCGGCGGCGGCGGCGGCAATGGCGGCACGGCAGCAGGGCCGTGCTGGTTCAGCGACGGCGACGGCGGCGGCGGCGGCGGCAGGAGGCGCAGTAATTGCCGTACAACGCGCTCATGGTCCGCCTCCGACAGACCTGTGAGTGTACATAGAGACGGACCGACAATCTCGAAAAGCGGTGGCAGCGATGAAGGGGCGGAAGGAAGGAAGCGTGGAGACACTAGACTAGACTAGACTAGACTAGCCACGGCAAGCCAAGCCAAGCCAAGACAGATCCACACCGCCCATCCATTGGGCCGCAAAAACAGATTCGGTGGGTAACTTCACTCGACAATCCTTCTACACGAACGCAGGGAACTTAGGACCCCAAACCCCCCACCTCACCTCCCCCCATTAACTCCCCCCCATACACACACACAACAACAACAAAACCAACAACAACAACAACACCGCCGCCGCCACCATCACCACCTGCCCCCAGCGACACCTCCACTGCTCCGCACAGCAGCCCCAGACGGTGACCGCTCAGGGGCGGGGAGGTCGGGTCCGCGGCCCGGGCCAGCAGCCGCACCGCCACCTCCGCGACCTGCGACGTAATGAACAGACATGTGGGGGCCCGGATATAGTATATGGCAAGGTACGGCAAGGTACGGCAATAAACATGCATACATGCATACATACACATACACCCTGGCCAGTGCCATGCCCGGATCGATGTGTTACACACATACACACACGCAGACATACATACATACACAGCTGAAAAGACGGCAATGAATTGTTCCCTTTCCCTTTGAGAATTAGGACCCTCCCTTCCCTTCCCTTGCCTTCCCTTCCTGAAGAGATGTACGCGGGGGGAGGAAAGGAACGGAAGATGACGGCGGTGGGTGGAAAGCTTTCTTAGATAGTGGTGGGACAGCTATATATAATCATGCAGCACATCCTCTCGTACAGACAGCTCAGCAAGGTATTAATTACTAAGCGGGTGAGCACTGGTGAGTGCAATTGCAGCAATTTCTAAAACACACACACACACACACACATGCTCTTACATGCAAATATATAACGCTACGCGATGTCAACGATGTCAGCGATGTCACACCTAAACCTACACCTACACACCTACACACACTTACACTTACACCTCATCGGCACCGGTCCCACATCGCATTCATCCCCCCCCCTGACCCCCATTAGTCAGCTACCTGCGCGGTACTGCTCCCGCCGACAGATAACTCCAGATCGCCGTCAACACCAACACCACCAACACCCGCCGCCGCCGCCGCCACCAGCGGCGG